AAAGCAAGAGGTAAAATATATAGCAATAGAAGATGATAAAAACCCTAAGAGAATTGGAAAAGGAAAATTCAAACACTAAACTTAAAGCCCAAGTAATAAATMAAAAGCCTTAACATTAAAACAGAGCCCAAAACAGARTTGGTCTCGTCGCACAGTAGGATGCGCTGCATCAGGAGTTCACTCATTAAGCTACTGGAAACTTTATAACCATCCCTATGGTTATGGATTCAGAGGAAACTTTCTTTTCATCCTCAATATTTACATATGATATTCTCTTTCAAGATTTCTCTTTTAGTTAAGAACTTGAGATATATGATGATGATTTGTTATTTCTTCAAAATTTTAAATATACTTCAATTATCTTCTTACCGTACCGATTTGATTTTTCAATATATACAAAGTTAACATTGAATAACTTCAAGTAAACTATATGGTTTGATTGTAATCGAAATAGATTGGTTCCAAATCCTTACAAAATAAGAAGTAAATGAAATTTAGATTCAGGGCTCTTAAGTCGTAACTAATATTTTCCAGAGTTGGTCATAATCTGGATGTATCCTATATATACTTAATTGTGATGTTTCAACAAATCGACTAACAAATATAGTAATGATGTAAAATAATACGTTTTGTCTATAAACAATATGAGTCCAATTCTCATAATTTTATGATTACTACTTAATGTTGATTGCATGTAAGAAACTTGAATTTGCTTAAGTTCTGAAAAAGACAGAAAAAGTATGATGAAAATGGAAGAAAACAATAATAATCACCTAACGTTAGGCTTGAGGTCATTTTCTACATTTTTTTTTTAATTGAATTGAATGTAAACATTTTCTACATTTATCACTTGATCACTCCACCTGTAGGAAGGAGAATTACTTGGACGATGTTTACAGTCAATTTTTTTTTATAAATTCCGAACCTTTTGAACATAATCTCTTCGGTACAGGGATATTCCGATTTAAAGAATAACCCTCCATACCAAATGGGGTTTAAATCCGGGACACAAAAAAACCAACCCCCTTTTGTTTCCACTAGGCTACCACACATTTGGTTGTTTACAGTAATTTCGGCTTGCTTTTTTGTTAAAAACTTAAATTACTCGTTCTCAAATTTTAATTTGGTTTCAGCCCTTTTAGTTTTCTAGTTGCATGCTATGGATTTGAGACTCTTAATCGTTCAAGTTCTCTAACATTGTGTATATCACCAGGCACTCATTCAAATTCTGATATGCAATTAACATCAACTTTGTTTAGTCATATTATAAAACTAATAAAAATATATATGTCAAAGTCTATGATCAGCAAGTATTATCCGATATATTGAATTATTTTTAACTTATATATATTGTTGACCAAAAAAAATTAATAATAACTTATATAGAGTTTTATGTATAAACAATAATGATAATCTCTTACTAATATATATTAACATGTGTTTAAATAATTGGGTATAAAAAAATATTTATACAACTTTTTAAAGTTTAATGATATAACTTATCTATTAATTTCATATGCTAATTTTGGTCAAATGTTTATAAAAACAAAATTTTATTAAAAGGAAATATGTTAAATTAAGTATCCCACACCACCTTGTGTGTATCGTGTGTTGAATTGATTACCTATATTATATAAAGATAGCTTGCATAAATCCCATACGAAAAACAGAGAAAATTTATAAACAAATCCAAATTGAAGAAATTAGGACCCGAGAGTCAGAAAAATGGTAGTTACGGTCTCAAAGAGAAAGTTAAGAACTTCAATGAAAACAGAAGATCCTTCTCGTATCTTCTTCTGTAATAA